AAAAAGTTAAAATTATGTCAAGTAGCACGCTTGCATAAGTAGTATCATCTCTACTTCTCACGCGGGTAGTTACCGTTCAATTCTTCGTGAGGAAATTATTTTTATTTTAAGTTTTTTTATCCTTAAGTTATACAAATTCTTTTTACATTTAATAATTTTTAATTCGTTTAATGGACCGACAAAAGAACTGTCTCCATGTTAACGACTTGTAAAAATCTGAAATGCATACCAATCAAAGGAAAACAGGAAAAAATGAAACCAGATTTTGTTTTTGACTATAACAATGCAAAAAAGGGTGTCGACTTGTCAGATCAAATACCCTTTTATTAAAGTTGCGGAAGAAAAACAATGAAGTGGTATAGGAAGTTTGCAATACAACTACTTTGCGGGACAGCAATAGTAAATGCATATTACATACAAAAAACATGGGGTAGTGGTCAAAWAAGCATTCTCAAATTTAGGGAAAAAATTATTGATAAATTTTTAATAACTGAAGAAATATCTATAAGACAAATAAAGGATAACAACCATCATTTTATAAACAGATATCCGGGCATTGCAAGAAATGTTCGTAAGCTCTGCAACTCTCTCTTACACTCTCTGATATCCGGGCATTGCAAGAAATGTTCGTAAGCTCTGCAGGGAATGTTATAGAAAATTGTTAGAACGCGTAGGTACCGTCATAGCAACAAAAAAAGCCAAGCGCTTTATAACATTTCGCCCTTTTTACGACAATCAGCCAACTTTTTGTATACAATGTTTTGAAGTAATTCAGGAAAAGAAATAATTCTCTTATCTTTATAAACATGAAAGTAAATTTGTTAATTACAATAATCACCTTTTTATTAGATTGACACCAGCGTGTACCACCGATGGCTTATCCCGCCCGATGGGACAATTTTGTATGCACCACCGGTAGCTCATCGTGCCCCATAGGATAGACAAGAATGTACCATTGGTGGTACACCCTGTTGCGAACGTGTTAAACAAATAATATCCATTTCTTTTCTCACTCGCACTCGCATTTACACGATCGAAAGACCTCAAGATAACGCACACTAGCTCACTCGCGTGTAAAGACCAACGATGAGGCGTTGCTTGCCCCCTCTTTTACAATTACATTTCAGCTTCATTTTCTCACTTATTTTTGCCAATACAAAGATACACCTTTAAAAATTTTTTATGTACTTTTTATTTTTCTACAACTTTAGTTAATAACTTTGTTTGAATAAATGCCTCGATTCTAAGATATTGCTATTTTTTACCGATTTTGCCCATTTTCTCGTAAATGCAACATTGTGTTGCAAAAAAATTAGAACTATTCGATTAAACG